TTCCTCATGGGTAGATATTGGAAAAGCTGGGATTTACTCCGGAGCAGGGCTGCGGAGGGTTCTGGACTGATTCTGGATTTTTTTCTCCAAGAAAACTATTCTGGCCCAGGCCATGGTAATGCTATATAGGTTTAGTTCTATTCCTTCCTGTGGAGATGGTTGACTAAAGGGATGTTTTAGCTTAATTCTGAACTGAAAAGTCACAACATGGGGAAAAAAAAAAAAGAAACCAAACAAACCCCCCAATCTGTATTTTTTTTTTTTTTTATTTTTAACAAGAAAATCTGAACTCCTTCTGGTCAGCCAGCGTCATTCGAGTCAAAGCAGCATCAGATTGCCAAGCCATTCAGCGCTGTCCCACTAAAACAAGCCGTTCCTGAGTGAAACTTTGCACCACACAAGAAAAATTTCCCTTTCTCTGCCTCTGATAATTTGCCTGACTCTGCCCACCGCTGCCATCAGCTGTGCCGTCGACTCGATGCTCCCTTCCTTGGGGGCCAGGGCTGGGGTTTGCCAGCCAAAGCCAAAGTGAACCCCAGGGGTGCGTGCAGCCCCCTGGCGTGGTTTGGGCACCTCATGGGGACTGTCACCCTCGTTGTATTGATGCAGACCCACCTGCCAGGCGTGAGAGCCACCAGCCTCCCCAGCGGGTGCCTGCCCCTCTGGTCTTGGTACTGATTAGCCTGCTGGGTCATTAATTTAACCGGAGATAAACACCAGTTGCTCGGCATTGCTCGTGGTTGACTCAGTCTCTGCATCTCTGGGTTTGCTGGGGTGAGGACAGCTTGCAGAAGATGTGTTGTTGGGCTGGTGCAGCTGGGCTGGTGTTGTTGGGATGGAGCAATTGATCTGGTGCAGTTGCTATGGTGCAATGGGGCTGGTGTGATTGGGATGGTGCCATTGGGCTCGTATGGTTGGGTTGGTGTAGTTTGGATGGTGCAGTCGGGGTGGTGTTGTTGAGTTGGTGTAGTTGGGCTGATGTTGGGATGGTGCAGTTGCAATGGTGCGGTTGGGTTGGTGTTGTTGGACTGGTGCAGTTTGGATGGTGTAGTTGCGATGGTGTGGTTGGGCTGGTGCAATTGGGCTGGTGTTGGGCTGGTGTAGTTGAGCTGGCAAAATTGGGCTGGTGCAATTGAGCTCGTGTGGTTGGGCTGCTGCAGTCGGGCTGGTGTTGTTGAGTTGGTGTGGTTGGGCTGGTGCAATTGGGCTGGTGTTGTTGAGTTGGTGTGTTTGACTGGTGTGGTTGGGATGGTGCAGTTGGGATGGCGCAGCTTGGCTGGTGCCATTGGGATGAAGCGGTTGGGTTCACGTTGTGTTTCCCCGGCTGGGTGGACAGTGCTTGTCCGGCTCCGGACAAGGCAGAGGAGGCAGCGCTGCAGCCCCGACGTGCGAGCCGTGCTGGAGGTGAGCTGGACATAATGAGGAAGTGGATAGTGAAACTGGAGAGAGTCATCTTTCATCTGCAGTGGCTGCAAACGAACACTTCCTCATTAACCCGCTGCCCTCGCTGCAGCCACATCCCTCGGGTGGCTTTTTCCATCCTGCTGCTTGGCTCTTGGCCATGTTCATACTTAACGGGCGTCTTTGAAAGTCTTTGCTGGGAGGTGTATCAGAGCGTGTCCAGCGCTGCTGTAAGGTGGGAGGATTTTCTTTGCTCTTAACCTGCTTGCTTTTTATGGAAAAAGGCTGAAATCCCGAGGTGCCGGGGCAGCAGGGCAGGTCAGCGCAGGGCACGAGGGGTCTGCGTCCTTCGCAAGGGTGCTTGGAGGGGGATGGCCAAGAGGGACACCAGGAGGGTGAAAAAAAGCTCCTGGTGACACGGGACTCTTGCACAGAGCGGGTCAGCAGGACAGAGCTGCTGTACCCTGTTGCCTTGGTGGTTGCAAGAAGATGTAAAACCTGAAATACGGCCACAGAGGTTGGCCATTGAAGAGTTGTCCTAGAAAATAACCCTCCAGCAGGCTCCAGGGGTGCTGCTATCTCCCAAAAACCTCATCCCAGAACCCAGGTCATCCACCTGCAGCTTTCCCAGAGGTCAGGCGCAAGGTTTGGGGGCTGCGTGTGGAGCGAGGGTGTCACTTCAGCCCGGCTCCGTCACAGCCATGGGGACACCCCTTCATCCCCCTCCACCCGCACCCACCCTGGGAAATCGTCATCCCCAAGGCTGTGCTGCCTGCAGGTGATGCTCAGATGTGGGGTTGAACCCCCAAATCCAAGAACCTCCTAAATGGCAAGAAACCTGATGATTTTCCAGGCCAGTTTCAGTGATTTTGGTGCTTTTTCCTTCAACTGGCACTGAAGGGAGAGGAGCTGGAGGGATCCATGTGCTTCAAGTTAAAGGTGCACAAAGGTGCAGGACAGATAATGCCATAATTCTCCATTAAAACGGATTTTTGTTGTTTTCCGTTTTGTTTTGGGTTTTTTTTTTTTTATTTATTTATTTGAAGGAGAAATCCAGTAACACTGGAACATTTTAACATTTTAAATGCGTTCTTGTGCAAGCGGTGAGTTTAATGAACCTGAAAGGAAGTGATCTCTAATTGAAGGCCGTTTTTTCCTGCTTTCAAGTTGCAAACATGAAGCGATGTCCCTTGAACAGCTCCTGGAGAGGTGGAATGAGGGTCCCAGTGGGATGCGGGGGCTCTCACCCACCCCAGCTTCCATGGGTGCCAGCAGCTCAGCACAGCCTCTGGTGGGGCTGGGATGCAGGTACAGAGGAATAAATCAGGAAGGAGATGATTTTTTTCTCCAATGCTGATATGCTTATGTTTAAAAAAGAAATTCAAAGCCACCTCTAGTGATTTGGGGGCATCAAAGTGGTCGCTCGTGAGCATCCCTGAGCATCCCTGACAAGGGAGCTGTGGGGTTGATATTCTGCTCACACAGCAGCTCGGCATTTCTTTTTCTTTTTTGCTGTGCCCCGTATTTTAAACTGATTTTAGCGATGAGAAATGTCTGTTTGAGTTGATACTGAGAGATATTTAATTAGGATTAATTGCTGGGCGTAATTAGGAAGTACCCAGCCAGAATAAACACCCACCACATGCGCATCCCATAATAGTGGGAGGGAGCTGAACCCTTCTCCTGCTGGCAAGCACATCTGGCTGCTGATGTGTCTCGAGTGCAGGAGAGGAAGAGTTGTTCACAGGGAAGAAATGAAGGATCAAAAGCAAAATAAATCGATGACGTTAGCTTCTAAGTAGAGGGGAAGTAGTTTGCTGAGGACCAGAGATGGTCACAGGATTTCCTAGGAAGAAGCCGGCTCTTCTATAGCACTTCAAAACACCCAGTGTTATAAATTTTGAAATAAGTGGGTTTGGGAATGCGTTTTAGCTAGAGAAAATTATTAGAAAGTGAAGCAGTAGTGTTTTAAATGAACTCCAGATATTTAATTCCCGTTGGTCTCCAGGCAATACCTGCAGCTGGATGTTTGCCAGCACCTGCTGGGGGGCTTCTTGTCGCTCCCTGGGCCAGTGCGTGGGATGGGGGCGGCTGTGGGCTTGTGATGGCTTCAGTGAGGCGTTAAAAAAAAAAAAGGAAATAGCCTGAAGTTTCCCTATTTTAGAGGACTCGGGGTGTATTTTGCTGTTTTGTTTCTTGGGCTGTCTGTCCTGCGAGCCCCGCTGTTCTGCTTACACCATGGGGACTGGGGCAGAGTTGGGAATTTAGTTTTAATTTAGTTCTGGCGTCTTTTGAGGTTTTATTGAGCACTTTAGCCCATGGGCTCATTTACACAGGGACACCGCTGGCTCCTGGTCCAGTGGCCAGGAGGGCATCGCCACCTGCTTTGCCGGGATGTGAGATGTTGGTTTTATTTCCCCAACCAGCCCTGATAATTCCCGAGTGCAGCGTCTTCAATGCAAACCCCAGAGACACCTTATTCCCCCTTTTTTTCCCCCAAATATTTAACATGGGACCTTCTGCTCGCATGACATAGTGTGTTAGTGACCCAGAAGTGACAGACCATCCCAAAAAGCTTCTTCTGTTCTCTTGCCTGAAAATTCCCTATTTATTCTCCAACTTCACCATCCTTTGGGAAAATGGGCTTTTTGGGATGTGGCAGCAAGTCAGGAGATTCCTCTGTTCCTGCCCCATTACGGGCTTTAAAATCTATTGTGCAAAACCCCTGGAGAGGCTCTTCCTCTAAAGCAAATGGCTGGGGCACTCCCATGGCTTGTGGGTATTAAATAGGTGGGTAAATATCCAAATTTTTGGACAAATTGTTGAGAATGGTGTATACCGGAGCAGTGAAACTCAACTCAACTCTCTAACACTCCTCTCATGATGGCTTGCAGGAGCCAGGGAAGTCTAAAGAAAGTTTAATAAAAATTCCTCTTTCTCCTTGCAAGCCTTCTTCTGTGCAATCCTTGAGCAGGAAACCCTCACCCATGTTTTGCTGGGTGGTAGGGTTGGGTTTTGTGAAGCTGGGGTTTCCCTGTTCCCCACTCCACACCCAGCTCTGGCAATGGGAGTCCCTGGAGCACCCAGCAGCCTTCTGATGCTGGATTTGGGAAACCAGGACCCACTGCAGACTCCCAGAGATGCCATGCCTCAGTTTTCCCACCTGTAAAATGGCCCTTGGGGCAGGGAGAGGATGGCAGAACATGTTTCCCGTGACACTGATATCAGTGTTTTACCCATCCCATCTTAGATTGAAAAAACAGCCTTAAATTATTTTGCAAACTTTTTTTTTTTTTTTTTTTTTGGTGAAGAGCAGAGGCTCCTGCAGGGCAGTGCTTTGCTTTGACCAGAGCCTCTTTTCACATGGGATTGCTGGGGAGCCAAAAAAGAAGATGGGGGTGTCTCCAGGACCCTTGGTGTCATTTTCCAAGTGGTTGGTTATTGCAGTTTTTTGGGGGGGTTTGGGCCATTTCTGTGATGTCCCGTGGGGTGCAGGTTGCGATGTTGTCTGATGAGAAGCTCTAAGCAAAGCCCCCGGCGCAGTGGTGTGGGTTCCTGGGCAGATTTTCTTATGATTCAACCTGGATGCATGTTTCCAGTCCAATTTTGACCCCTCCATCGCGGGGACATTCTCGTTGCAGGTGTCCTGTCTCTGCGGCTCTGCACCATGCCTGCTCTGCGGCTGCTGCCCCTCGGCCAAGAACTCCACCGTCTCCCGCCTCCTCTTCACCTTCTTCCTCTTCCTCGGCACCCTCGTGTCCATCATTATGATAATCCCCGGCGTGGAGAAGGAGCTGCACAAGGTAAATAACTCCTGGAGGTCTCTGGGCTTGGTCGCCACGGGGAAGAAGTTTAGCTCGTGGTGGGTACGTGAGGCTGAATCAGAAAATGAATTTTTGGGGTGTGACGTTGCTTCTGTTCCTTTTTTTCTGAACATCTGGCTGGGAGAGGGTGTTATTAACCCTGGTTTTCCACGGAGGGGAAGATGCAGTGGGATAATTTCATGCATTATGCAGTTTTCCCAGATGACTCCCAGGGAAGTTTCCTGCATCTCATTTTTTGAGTTCAACTGGCCAAGTGACTTGCAAATTGTGGAGGTGGGACATGCAGGGAGCTGACGTCTGCCAGCCGAGCTGATGCAAAGGCTGGGCTTGGCTTTTTGGGAAATTCTGATTTCACCCCAGCTTTCCACTGACCTGCAGGGTGGCTTTAGCTGTGTCACCACTGTCCCCAAGCAGGACAGCCACTTGCCTTACGGGTGGCATTGGAGGAGCCATGGGCTGGCCCCTCTTTGGTGGCACCAGGGCTTGTGGTGGGTGCGGGATGCTGGGGGGATCCTCACCCTCCCATCACTGTTGCAGCTCCCCGGCTTCTGTGAAGGCAGTGGGTCGGTCCTGGGGGTCCAGACCCACGTTGACTGCAGCAGCTTCCTGGGCCACAAAGCCGTGTACCGCATGGGCTTCGCCATGGCCGCCTTCTTCTTCCTCTTTGCCCTGATGATGGTGTGTGTGCGCAGCAGCAAGGACCCGCGAGCTGCCGTGCAGAACGGGTGAGCGCTGGTCCCTGGAGGGGGGGATGCTGGTGTGGGGAAGGGTCAGACCCCCCCCTTCCCTGCTGGTTCCTGATTTCAGACCGTGTCTCCTTTCCCATCCTACAGCTTCTGGTTCTTCAAGTTCCTGGTGCTGGTGGGGATCACAGTGGGGGCCTTCTACATCCCCGACGGTGCCTTCACCTCAGGTGAGGAG